TCTTGATGTCATCTCACAATTCATCTGGTTTTTTGTCACTGGCATTCAATGCATCTAATCTATTCTTTAGATGGTCTCTAAATTTAGAAGGGATAAATTTAAGGTCATATTTTGGCTCTTGTGGATTTGTTTTAATTGTCTCCAAGTTGAATTTGCATATGAGCAGTTGATGGTCTGTTCCACAATGAGCTCCTGGCCTTGTTTTGGCTGAAGATGTTGAGCTTTTCCATCGCCTCTTGCCACAGATGTAGTTAATTTGATGCCTGTGTACTCGATCTGGTGAAGTCCACATGTATAGCCACCATTTGTATTGTTGCAAAAAGGTATTTGCAATGAATAAGTTGCTGGTCTTGCAGAATTCTATCATGTACTCTCCAGCATAATTCTATCATGCAATCTCCGGTGTCATTCTGTCACCAAGGCCAAATTTTCCAACTACCGGTGATTCTTCTTTGTTTCCAACTTTTGCATTCCAGTCACCAATGATAATTAATACATCATGATTGCATGGTCGGTCAATTTCAGATTGCAGAAGTTAATAAAAATCTTCAATTTCCTCATCTTTTGCTTTGGTGGTTGGTGCATAAATTTGAATAGCAGTAGAATTAACTGGTCTTCCTTGTAGGCATATACATATTATCCTATCACTGACAGCACTGTACCTCAGGATAGATGTTGTAACATCCTTTGTGATGATGAATGCCACGCCATCCCTCTTCAAACAGTCAATCATATGGCTGTCTGATTCAAAATGGCCAAAATCAGTCCATTTCAGCTCACTAATGCCTAGGGTGTCAATCTTTATGCGTTCCATTTCATTGTTGACAACTTCCAATTTTCCTAGATTCATACTTCACACATTCCATGTTCCGATTATTAATGGATGCTTGCAGCTAATTCTTCTCAATTTGAGTTGTGCCATGTCAGAAAATGGAGGTCCTGAAAGCTTTACTTTATCCATGTCATTAAGGTTGCTTCTACTCTGAGGAGGCAGCTCTTTCCCAGTTGTACTTTGAGTACCTTCCAACCTAAGGGGCTTGTCTTCCTGCACCGTATCAGACAATGATTCCAGGACTGGATTTGGTTATATTTAACACTTTTATAAGCTGAAAACAGCCAAGTATGTTTGTGTCCTATTGCACTGTTTTATTGCTAACCTTTCATTCAAAGAAAAATTTTTCCCACATTTGTGCATATTTCACATATTTGCATATTCCAACAACATAAATTCTTAACTTTCTAAAAACGAGCACCCACATACAAAACCCGGAACTCTTTTCCCTTATTATAATTGTTATTTTTGTTGTTGTTATGTGCCGTCGAGTCGGACCCAACTCATAGTGACCCCTCTTTGGGTTTCGGAGGCAATATTACTATGGAAGACGATTGCCCCATCTTCCTTCCAAGGAGTGGCTGGTAGGTTTGTACCACCAGCCTTCTGGTTAACAGTCAACTAACACTAACCCTAACCCTAACCCTTATTATAAAGACTACCAAAAACCAAACTTACTGTCGTTGAGTCATTCTGACTTATAGTGTCCCCTCCTTGGGTTTCTGAGGTGCTATCTCTATGGAAGTAGACTGCCCAGTCTTCCTTCTGAGGAGTGGCTGGTGGGTCTGAACTGCCAGCCTTCTCCTTAGCAGTCAAATGCCTTAGGCACTATGCCACCAGAGCTCCTTCATAAAGACAAGCTCTTCTGAAATATCATTAGCAATAAACATCTTTATAAAAACAATATAGAACACTGCAATTAAATACAATAATGGTTATTTACCAAATATGATTAAGCTTTTTTGCATAAATGAACTTATCAGGTACCTAAAGCTGTCCCTTTTGGCAACTAAATGTTGTTTTAAAAAAAAAAAATTAGCCATCTGTAATGGAACTCTAAAATGTTAGCATTTTCCTTGCTTCTTTTTCAGGTTTACTGAATAAAACCATTTAAGGGATGACTGTGATAACCCAGCCACCACTATAATAAGTTTCTGGGTATTATAGAGGCAGAGTTATACACAGGTGATGAGTAACACAGGGAAAAATGGATTTGACTCCAAAGTTGTTCTAGAAATTAAAATCTTAAAAATATCACAGATGCCTGATTTTTATCTTCTGCTATGTGCTCATAAAGTAGTCTGAAGGACACATAATAATATGTCATTACACAAAACAGAATAGACTGGCTGAAAGTATAACAACTTCCAAAATCAAAAACCGTCAAGGAGACTCCTCACAAGGGATTTTCTCTTCACCCAGGTGTGCTGCAACACTCTGGTAGGTTCTAAGCAAGACTGCCCTGTCATTTGCCTTCAAAAGATTATCTATCACTTCTGCAGTACTAACACGTCAGGACATGGCATCTTCAAGCCATTGTTCTGTTTCGTAAGTTTATCATATGACATGAATTACAGTAATCTTTACCATTTAAGAATTTGTGCTATAAACTTTACCATTTAAGAATTTGTGCTATGAACTTTGGAAGTATTATTCTAACACCTACAAACTCTCAGGCAAGAGGCAGGAGGCATATATTCAACTCAAAATTTTAAAAGGAGGGCGGGAACACAGTCAATTAGTGATTTAAAAGACAACAGACATCAACTTTTCTTAAATGTACTATATCTGAATTTGCCAACTAATGACAGTAACAGTATTTGATATTTAAGGCCAAGAATATTAAAATGGATAACTCTAGCAAGACTCTAAAAAAACTGACAATCTGACAAAAATTCTGTGAAGCAATCTTCAACAACATTATCTTCAACAAACATTATCAGGTTAAATTCACCAAAACAACATCATGCCACCACATTTTTCTGTCTTAATATTTTATTTTGCCTGTTTTTATGCCCTATGGGCCAGCTGCCCATTTTTGTACCTAAAAATTTATTGGTTTACATATTGTCTATGGCAACTGTTACACTGTGTCAGAAGTGTTGAGCAGTTTTAAGGGAGATCATATAGCCTGCAAAGCTGAAAATATTTTATTTTGGCCCTTAAAGAAAAACAATTGTTAACCCTGGCCTAGATGCCAGTCCCTAGAGATCCTCCTTAATAAATATAAATTATCCTTATGGTTGGAAGAAAATTCTGTACCAATTTAAATGGATGATTGCCTGGGGGTCTGAAAATAATTCCCAGAAAGCAAAATGCAGACACTCAAGCAGTATATATTCTTCTCTATTAGTCAGAGAAATAAACAAAAATTAGTCATTATTATGCTAGCATATTAATAATATTAAGATTATAACAGCTTCCACAAAAAAATGACAAAAATATAAGATTTTTTTAAAATCATGCTTTGCAAACTAAAATGTAACCAGGGCCAGCTCAGAAAATTCAAGTTATCTAAGAGATATTCAATCCCTAGCATGCAGTCATATTGCCAGTTCCCCAAACTGACATCAGAAGCAGCGTATGCTCCATTAGTTTGGGAGATAAAATAAGAAAAAAAGCACCAACACTAGGGAGCAGCTCATTGTTGTGCTTTTCTCTTTCTTTGCACACAATTAAATAGGGGAATCCCTAGACCACACTCAATATCTACTCAATGTTCTTCCCAGAATGGGTTTATGTCGCCTACCAGACTCATGTATTGGGACTTCCAAGGGGTTGCTTCCAAACTTAACAAATTTCTCTCTCATCCAAAAGACCCAAGCTTTCTCTGGGTGAATTTGCAATATAAAGGCACTGAGAGAACATAAAAGCCGTACCTTAATAGAAGCAATATGGAGCAAAGTCTCTCCTCTATGATTTCTCTTCACAGCCATACGGCTATTGGGGGACAGCTTCATTGCTGAGGGGCTAGACATCATTCGTCTGTAACTGGGACTATTCAGAGCAGAAAGTGGCATAGCTGGTGAGAGACTAATGGATTCATCTGACAGATTACTGTTTTTTCTCCTTAATTTGCGACCAACTTTACGTTTGCTTGAAGGTGGGGAAGAACACTCAGGCAATGGGTCTTCTGAGAGATCTGTTTGCATGACAAGATCTCTGCTGGTGCTCTGAGCACTGCTTCTACATCTCTTAGAAATGGGACTGGAAAGTTGGCTGTGACGCTCTCGTTTGCCATCACGATCTAATGGCAAGGGTTTCTTCGATTTCAGATCATTTTCCCAGGGATTCTCCTCAGGAGTCACTACATCATCCTTGCTCTCAATTTCAGGAGACACTATTTGCTCAGCCAAAGGTAAAGAGATTTCACTAAAGCTTCCAAAACCTTCAGATTCTGCTGTTGGGTCACTTGCTAGTAAATCAACTTCACCACTGAGCTGAGCGTTCGCAGTGGCAGATGGCTGGTCGCTGAAGGACACCAGCTTTTCCTTAAATTCTTCTTTTGGGTCAGGCTTACCACCTTCCTTTTCCTTCTCCAAATTCCATTCTTGGTTGATTTCAGCTAACGTTTTCTTTTTTTGCTTTCTCTTAGATTTTGTAGAAGCCTTTTTTTTAGCCTTTTCAGAAACATCTGCTGGAGGACTTGTGGAAACAAATTCATACATGGAGGTCTGCTGAGCATTTTCACCATTGCCCATCTGAGGCTGGGTTTGCACTGAAACTTTACTCACAACATATCTGACCTTCTTACTTCGAGGACTAAACCACATTTTTATTGAATTCTTCTTGTTTTCTGCATCACTGAATATATTTGTCTTACTTATGTCATCTTTCAAATCTGATAGAAAAAAAAGAAAAGAAATCTGTTATATGATGTTACTCTCTCCCATCTTTGACCTTTCAAAGAGTACTGCTTATAGTTCTCCTAAGTATCATTGCCTATAAGTTTGTCATCCTGTGATGGCCTGCATGTTGCTATGATGCTAGAAGCTATGCCACCAGTATTTCAATACCATCAAGGTCACTCGTGGTGGACAGGCTTCAGCGGGGCTTCCAGACTAAGGCAGACTAGGATGAAAGGCTTTGTGATCTCTTCTAGAAATTAGCTACAATTTAATCCCAACAGAGCACTGCCTACCTCTCTTGCTTTGGAAACATCATCTTGAGGAATCAATCATAAAAGAAGGGCATCATGCTTGGTGAGGTACCAAAAAAATTCATAAAATACCTAAACATAAACCTGATCTCAACTCCTGTTCTCTTCTCCTCACTAACTCCACTCCAGCCATATACATGTCTTCAAACACACCAAGTATGTTTCTACCTCAAAGCCTTTGCAATCACTGTCACTTTGCCAGAAAATTTCTTCCCCAAATAGCTGCATGGCTTACTCCTTCACCAACTTCAGGCAAGTCATTGCTCAAATGACACAATGTTTTATGAAACTATCCTTTACACTATTTTAAACTTATAAACCCTTACCTCTTACATATTTTTATTTATGTTTTTATATCTTGTCTGTCTCTCCCATGACAATGTAAGTTCCATGAAGGCAAGAAATTTGTCTCCACCTTGCTATATTCCCAGTGCCTGGAACAGTATCTGGTATATAGTAAGTGCTCAATTAATATTTATTGAATGAATGGATCTTATAATCCACGTAAAGCAATATGGGTCTCACTCAGATCAAATGAAGAGAAAGGATATAATGTTTTACACTTTAGAATGATCACTATGTCTAGCAGGAACTTTAGAAAGAAAAGAATGGACACAGTGAGACCAATTAAGTGGCTATCATCCACAAGAAAGTTCACAATGGCTCTAACCAGCATTAGAGCAAAAGAAATGATAAAAAGTGTCAGATACGAAATCTAAAAAGGTTACCAGTTAACTATGCCAAGAGAGACTGGGAGACAAAAAATTATGGCATAAAATATATTTAAGAAACTGAAAAGATGACGAGAATGCCTAGCTTACAGAGTGAAAGGAAAAAAGTGGTATAAAGATAAGGACCATACAAGGTCTTCCTGGCAATGTTAACAACTTCAACACTTTAGGTTAAGAACAATGGAAAACCACTAAGTATTTTGGGTACGTTAGAACGCATGACTAGATCAATGTTTGTATCTGTCTGCAGAGTACATAAACAAGTTATAAGATAGCAAGAGGAAATACAAGAAAAATTAGTAAGAGGCCAAGTAGAATTGGCTTATTAACAATTATTAATTGAAGATAATAAGTAGAGAATGATGGATTGGGAAGGTGATGGTAGAAAAATAAAGGGTAGAATCATTTTTAATACGCTTAGATAAAATTCACATGATTTTATGATGAATTTCATACAAGAAAAACTAGATGTTGTTCAGTTACCACCACTGAGTACTCTAACCAGGGTCACAATAGATGGTGCTGGAGAATGAGAGAACAATCGGGGGCAGAACTCAAATTCTTATTTAAAAAAGAAAAAAGAGAGAGAGAGAGAAAGAGAAACCAGAAGAACTGAGAAAGGAGGACTCCCTGAGACTATCACCCTGTAACACTATCCAAGCCTATCCCCTGAGACCCCCTCTGAGTGAAACAGTGTAGTGGAATATAAAATAAAGGATATTACTTGTAAGATCAACGCTCTACTTAAAAGACCATCAGCATGGGACCAAGGAGTGAACAATTACTTAAAAGCAAGGACGAGAAGATAAGGGAGGAAGGGACACTAGAGTACTGCAAACGGAACAAACAAAACACAATTAAAGAGAATGCTGACACACTGTGATAAATTGAACTAATGTCACTCACTGAACAATTAATGGGAACCTAACTTGCTGTGTAAACTCACCAAAACTCAGTATAGTATTTTTTATAAAAGAAACAGCCAAATGCACAATTTTGGTGACAGAGCACTGGGGAGTGATTTCAGCTAAACAAGTACCAGGCCTTCTTGGCAACTCATCCTGTGTGTGGCCCTGGGCTAGGGTCTACGTCTCCTGACTATTTTTGATTAGCTTTACACAGCAGATGGATAGCAGCCACCTTTGATCTTGTCCAGATGTCAGTCTGCTGCCTTCCAGCTCAAGTCTCCTAGAACTCACATGGCCACATGGAGTCAGTTTTCCCTTCTTCAAGGAAAATGCTAAAGTGATCTAACAGGTGGCATGTGTTTTGTTCTTCATTTTTGAAAGAAGCAATGGACATGCCAATAGAAGATGTGTGGAAGGGTAGAGAGAGGCTTCCTGACTGAGCAGTGTGGGTAAAGCTTGAACCCTGGCTCTGGTAAATACTCTGAGTGACCTTGGGCGAGTAAGTTTCTCCACCTACAAACCTAAAATAAGAATAGTATCTTATGCAATGGGTTGTTGTAAGAATTAAAAAAAAAAAAAATCAGTACGAAGTATTTAACAGTCCTGGGACATATCAACGTATTAAAATGTTACCAAGATGATGTTCTAAGAAAGACTCAGGACTACTGAAGACTCAGAGGTTAATCTTCTGGTAGTTTATGAAATTTTGTATTTTACTTTTTTAATTTATTTTAAATATAGGTGATGACATTGTTTATTAAAAACATGTCAAAATCCCACGTAGAAATAATTAGTCCAAGGGACTAGTATACCATGCGATCCTCAGCTATACGACTATGAGACAAGGTGAACTAGATGGTGCACGGCTACCACTGTCAACCGCTCAGGAGGATCTATGTAGGAGATCCTGGATAGAGTAGGAGAACAACGTGGAACAAAACTCAAAATCATAAAGCAAAACAAAACAAAAAAAACAGGCACCAGGTTTGGTGGTCTGATAGAGCCTGGTGGAACCACTGAGACTATGGCCCCTAGCTGCCCTTCAGGTCTGGAATTGAACCCACTCCTGTGGCTTTTAGCCAAACAAAAGACAGGCATATGAGCTGAACATTTACATTAGGTAGATACACTCCTTGGAGAGATCAATCATGGGAGAACAGAAGGGCTGTGTGTACACGAGGAGACAGCTCAGGGGGGCAGGAGTACATAGGAGGGATGGACACAAGGAAGAGGTAAGTGTGGGGAAGAAGTGGGAAGAGAGCTGTTGCACTGTGGGAAACTGCAGTCAATGTCATGAGACAAAGTGTATGTGCACTACTGTATGGAAAATGAATTTGCGATGTACACTTTCACCCAAATCAGAATAAAAATTTAAAAAAAAAGAAGTCAAAATCCTTAAGTCCTCAGTATTTATACCATAGCATACAAAATGCAGAATTAGGCATTTAAAGAGAAATTAAGGCTAATGTTGCTGTTGTTAGGTGCTGTTGAGGTGGCTCCCACTCATAGCAACCCTACAGACAACAGAATGAAACACTGCCCAGTCCTGCACAGTCTCACAATCCCTGCTACGCTTGAGCCCATCATTGGAGCCAACGCGTCAATCTATCTCGTTGATTGTCTTACCCTTCTTTGCTGATCCTCTACATCCCAAGCATGATATCCTTCTCCAGGGAATGGTCCCTTCTGACATGACCAAAGTCAGTGAGACAAAGTGTTCTGGTTTGTGCTGCTCTGACAAGAATATACCATAAATGGGATGGCTTGAAGAAACAGGAGTTTATTCTCTTACAGTCTGGAGGCTAGAAGTCCAGATTCAAAGTGCCAGGCTTGAGGGGCTGGGTGAAAGCCCCTCAACCTTGAGCTTCAGTTCTGCCTCCTGCTCCCAGCCCAATGAAGCTAGAGGCATTTCTTCACTCAGCTGCTGGCTGCTGAGGCTGACAAGCCCAAGGTTGACAAGTAAAAAGGCACAGTCCTGATGTTACCAAACCACAGGGTAGGCCATTCATTCAAGTCCATTGAAAGTCCCAAGGTCGGCAGAGCATGGCAGGCTGATGAACAACGACATAGCTACGTGCAGGGTGAAAGCATGCCATCAGCTAGAGACCATTCCCAAAGCTGTTTCTTATATACTGAAAGCAGACCACATACCCAAAGCAGCTACTCAGCTGCACCAACAGATTCCACCATGGAGTTGATTACCAATCTCACCAGGGGGAATAACTACATTCAGCTGCCCAGCCACTCACTCAAGCAGGCCCAGCCAAGCTGACACACAAACTAATCACCACACAAAATGTGGCTGTCCTTGCTTCCAAGGAGCATTCCAGCTGTCCTTCTTTGCAGGCAGATTTGTTTGTTCTTCTGGTAGTGTGTGGTTTGTTGCTGTTGCTGTTGCTGTTGTTGTTATGTGCTGTTGAGTTGGAACCGAATCACAGCGATCCCCCCTTGGGATTCCGAGGCAGTATCACTATGGAAGTAGATTGCCCAACCTTCCTTCCGAGGAGTGGCTGGTGGGTTTGAACCACCAGCCTTCTGGTTAGCGGTGAAGTGCTTTAGGCACTATGCTACCAGAGCTCCTCAGTATTCTTCACCAGCATCACAATTCAAAGGCATCAACTCTTCTTAGGTCTTCTTTATTCACACTGTCCGGCTTTTACGTGCATATGAGGCAACTGAAAACACCAGGGCTTGAGTCAGGCGCACCTTAGTCTTCAAAGTGACATCTTTGCTTCTTAACATTTTAAAGAGGTCTTTTGCAGCAGATTTACCAAGTGCAATACAACGTCTGATTTCCTGTTGCTGTTTCCATGAATGGTGACTATGGATACAAGTAAAATGAAATCCCTGCCTGGCATCGTCTTTTCTCCATTTATCATGATGTTGCTTATTGGTCTAGTTGTGAGTTCTGTTTTCTCTATGTTGAGGTGAATCCATACTGAAGACTATAGTAGCCAATCTTGTAGATAAGGCTTGTAAGTGGTAGCAAACACACCATCTATTAAAAAACCTAAGTCTAAAAACACAATAAATTTCTTACTCCAGTGTACCTATTTTCTAACTTGAAAAGGAGTAAGTGAAGAGAGGGCATATTCATGTAATTTACACATACATAATAATTTCCCTAATCATCCAATAATAACAATTTTACTCAAGAACATTTTAATTATATATCTTGGTATGACTGGCAAGGACCACAACAGCAAACATGACTGCAAATTTTGGAATTTATGCAGCACCTTCTAAGATAAGACTGTGAAAAGTGAAAACAACACTGCTGGAACATAAATCATACTATTAACAGCTACAACAGTTTTTATGGGTGAGTGCCCCTAAACATGATAAATTATCATATTCATTCCATGCAGAAAAATAGTGGTCCTTCCTCCACATTGTAAATTTCTTAATGATGCCATTTAAAGAATTCTATTCTCTGAATTTAAATATTTCAGAGTATTCTACAAAGAATCGAGGAATATAGATGTACATGTTCCTAAGGAGCTGCTTCAGCCAAGTTTTTCCTTAAAATTTAATAATAAAAAAAATAAAACCTGTAGAAAAGAGAGGCAATTAGAAAATGTGATTTAGCTATCATTAATCTACATCAAAGGATTATAATGGTGTACACTGTGTATCTTTCAAATTATTCTCTATTATAGGTTTCACAACAGAAGTTGAGAAATCTCTTTGACAAACTAGTCTCTTATTAAAAATCAAAGACAGCAATTTGCTACCATCTGTGCAACATTAACGCCTTCACTGAAGAATGATTATTTTGTAAGTTAAGAAGTATTCAGTTCCATTTAGAAAAACAACAGCAACACAACCACTGAAACACTCATTTCATCTATTATAAAAAAAAGGTCATAGTATACATGAAACACTATGTAATTCACAACAGAAGACTAGCCTCACTCCATAAACTGAAAGACAGAAAAGGAAATTGTGCATCTATGAAAGCATAATCAAAGTTTGTTTTATTTTTTTTAATTGTCACCAACACCAACACACGCTTCACAAAACCTGACCAGCACCTGCAAGGTCTCATTTAATATGATGGGGGGCAAAGGAAATAAAAACTTAAATTTAACTCCATTAGCAGGAAGCAGATTATGTTATAAAGAATAAGGTAAAATTATCCATAAATGGTTGTCAGGAAAATTTATGAGAGACAATCTCTTCTCTTTAAAGCACACTGAACCAAGAAAAATCTGTTCAAGTGTTTAGAAGCTCATTTTAGAAAGTATTACTATAAATCAGGCTTCTTTATCTCCAGTATACCATATACTATGTCCATGATTTGACAAGTTCTCCTAATTACCCACCTTAATTACAGTAATTACACATTTTTATAGTAAATGCAAGTAACAAGGTTCATTTGGAAGATAAATCGTGAACTACAGGGTTTTTTCAAAGAGAGAAAATGTGGGAGATGCTCAACCCTTTCAGTTAATTCATCATCTTCAGCACTTGACCGTTTAACAAACTCAGCTGATTTGGGAGCCAGACCTTAGAGAACACTCAATCAAACACTCTTATGTTATAGGCTCCTCATTGGAAAGAGGCTCAATCATCACTTCTCCAGAACTATTGGTTCCCTCCCTCTGCCTATGTTATAGTTCACCTTATGTCACTTTAGGTTTAGAAGTATTTTACTAACACTTAAGGCATTGCCTAAAATATGTTAAGTAGATAATTTAAAAAAAAAAAAAAAGAGAAATACTCCAAGAAGAAAAAATTCTCAAATGTCCTTCAAGCTTGGTTTGTTTTGGGAAGACACGGGTAGGAAAAGTTGGTGAAGATGCAATTTACATTAAAATAGAAAGTTTTGCACCATGGTGATTACAGATGTGGGTAGAAACTTGTACTTCATTATGTTTATACTCTAGATTTTTATAATCTTCTAGCAAAAGAGCAAAAGAGGATGTTGCCAATATAAAACAGACTGTTTAAGCTACTATCTAAGAATTTGCTTTAAAAACATTTTAATTAAGTTTAGTTTTGGGGATATGATTTAATCTTAGCTTTTGTTGTTGTTTTAGCACCACCAAGTTTTATCGATTCAATTCAACAAGCATGTAATGAATACCAATACCCCTAATGAAAGCACTGTGCCAAAAGAAAATACTGACAAAGGAACTTACAAGATGACCACCTGAGTAACCCAGGTCCTCTAATTCCTTACCTAACAGAATAAGTGAATGAAATATGAACTTCCAGCTCCTAAAATTCTAATGATATGGTAACCAAACAACAAAAATGCAATTCACCTTAAATAACAGCACACTTTATCATAAAAGAATGGAGTCTAAATGCAGGAAACAATTAGTCTAAAGGACTAATGGAGCATGTGAACCCCAGCCTCCAGAACCCTGAGCAGGAAGAACTAGATAGTACCTGGCTACCACTACCCACTGCTCTGAAAGGAATCATAAGAGGTCTCAGATAGGGAGGGGGGAAATGTGGAACAAAACTCAACATCATAAAAAAAGATTAGGCTTACTGGTCTGATGAAGAAAGACTGGTGGAATCTCTAAGACTGTAACCCTTAGAACCCTTCAAGCTAGTAACTAAACTTAACTCTTGTGACTCAACTTCAGTCAAACAATAGACAGACTTATAAGGTTAACAGTAATATCAGGAGGGTATGCACTCATTCGAACAACCAAGCACATGAAATCAAGAGGACAGCACTCGCCCAGGGATAGAGCTAAGAAGGTGGGAGGGGATGGGAAGGAAGAATAAATGAAAGGGGGGGGGGGGTACAGGGAGGAAGTGGGAAGAATGTTGCTACAGTGGGGGATTGCAGTAAATGTCACAAAACAGAATGTATAAGGATTGTCAATGGAAAAGCAATCTGTTCTGTAAACTTTGACCAAATCACAATTAAAATGGAAAAACAATAGTCTAAACTAATACAATGATCCAGAAATACAATGATCCAGATATGGCTAAGGATAACTATTCATAGGCAGACAATGATTTCAATTCAACTTTTTTAAAAGAGATCTCTGGTCACTAAAACTCAGAGCGTTTCTGCCTTGTCTTTATTTTGTTTAGTCTACTTCATCTTTTGTAGCTAATAAAGCATTATGTCAGATGTCTAAGAACATAAGATTTAAAAACAGAAATCTAATAATTTTACATGAGTATTATCAATCATTCACAGCATCCTGTCAGTCAAGAAAAGGATCCCTTATAATCACAGGCTAAAATGACGTAATCTGGTCAATAAAATGACAATTCCAATATCCAATGACAAAGATTCAAAACACTACTGTCTTTCCACAGTTAATTAGTTCTCAGCAGAAAGCACAATGGGAAGACATACAATTAATACACCGAGTCTAAGAACAATTTGAAAAACATTAACTCCCATTTGAATAGAAAAGAAGAATATTTGATTTTCACTGTCTCGAAATGTGCTCATCTAATTAATTCAGCCTAGGAAAGTGATCCTTGGAAGAATGTATTCTATCTTTTAAAAGCGTATATAAGTGAGTTAAGCACTACTAAGGACAAAATCACTGGCCGACTCGACGGCAAATAACAACAACAACAACAACAAATATATATTAGAGAAAAAGTACCAAAACTGTAAAAAGCAGGCACCACAGAGTGGTGAAAAGGTCTGGACAATCAGGAGAAATGGGTTCTCTCAACTCTGGTATTAACTACATGTATGGCTTTGGTCAAGATCACTTAACCTCTCTGGACCTTGGTTTCTCATCTATAAAATAAGGAAGTTAGACTTAACAATCTCAAAGGTAACTGTCATTTATCAAAATGATTCTAAACACTACATTGTTGTCAGGTGCTGCTGAGTTGATTCCAAGTCAATGACCCTGTAAGACAGAGTAGCACTGTCCCATAGGGTTTCCTAGGCTGGGATCTTTCTGGGAGCAGATCACCAGGTCTTTTCTCCTCCATAACTGCTGGTAACTTACAACTACCAACCTTTTGGTTAGTAGCAGAGTGTTTCAACCACTGCACCCTAAACACTATAGATCTTTGTTGTTTTTGTCGTTGTTATATGCCATCAAGTCAGACCCAACTCATAGCGACCCCTCCTTGGGTTTCTGAGGCAGTATCACTACAGAAGTAGATTGCTCAGTCTTCCTTCCGAGGAGTGGCGGGTGGGTTTGAATCGCCAGCCTTCTGGTTAGCAGTCAAACACCTTAGGCATTATGCTACCAGAGCTCCTATAGATATTTACAAAAATCTAAACTATGTCATTCAGAATTCCTGATATCTCCTTTTACACACTTTATATGACAGATAAGAATTCTTCAGTTGCTTAACCCAGAGAGGCAATGGTATTTCTTACCTGAAAGTTTATTGTCATGCAGTAAATTTCGAAGCTTACTATAAAGTTGGATCATGTTGTCCAACTGTCTATTTATCTTCACATCTTGTATCCAGGCTGGGGTACAACACACTGGACATTCAGTTCCAAGGCAATCACTTACACAACCACTGAAAAAAAGATGAGGGGAAAAAAAAAGAAAACCATCAAAGAAGCATTCAGCAGGATCTGAATTCTAAAAAATAAATAAATAATAAACCATCAGTGTTTGATCAGAAGGAAATGAAGCAGAGGCTTTTCTAAGAAACAAGAGTCAACTGTAAAATACTTGCTAAAAATTGTGTTTTTGAAAGATTGTGATTCACACACACATGTGCACACATGTGTACAATTTAAATCTAAAGTAAGTTATGTAATTTGCTACAAAGAAACTTGACTTAGCCTGAAATTAGGCTGCATAATTTTTTCCCCCAAATAAACCTATAGCTTCTAAAGGACAAGTGTACAGAGAGGGCCTTAAACAAATGGAGCTAATATCTATTACATAGCCGCCATACATCTCAACTTTTTCTATCTAAACCTAACACTCTACTTCATGGAAATATCTAAAATTATTGCAGAGACTTGGGAAAGCAGCTTTTTGTTGTTTTGGACAAATGTCCAAAGACTTTAAACTTACTTCTTTTTGAGAAAGGATCTTTGGATCTCTTAGACAATATTATAACCTGTAGATCTGTCTATTTTAGATTTTATGTTTGTTCTATAAATGTTCTCGTATTATTTTATGTACATTAATCCAGAATTCTGGAGAAATACGGCATCTCTCATTACATGTGCATTATTTATTCAATGAGCCAATATTTTCCAAATGACCAGTGCATTATATCACAAAACTATGCTAGGGAAAAGAATCGTTCAAACTACAAGATGAAACAATGGAATTTAATGTAACATTGATATGCTTTCAGATTCCACACTGCAACTAACCTAAAGAAACTACTACTTGTCAACTTTTGGTGTAGAATCTATGACTAGCCACAATTACCTGAAAAACTAGTAAAATATTCCTTTTTCCCAACTACAGATATGTATGAAGCCAGATTTTCTTCATAGACTTCCACAAAAGCAACATAGGGTAACAGACGGAATCCATACACAGCTAGTAGAATCTCTCTGTCTTCTAGTCAGCCAGCCATTAGAGATTGGCAAAAATGTAAAGCAATGCCAGTTTTCTAAGTAATTACCTTTTTTTTCTTTTGGTAATTACTTCTTTAATTTGTAAAATAATTATTTTTCCTAAAAATGGTTATGTTAATATATAATTGGTTTATTGTTATTTTAATGAATCGATATTTTTAAAATTCCTCCACTTAGTGCTGTATCTGTATCTCTACCTACACCTCTATATTTTATACTAAAAGACTCACTGCTGTCGAGTTGGATCCGGCTCCTAGCGACCCCGCCTTGGGTTTCCAAGGCAGTATCACTACGGAAGTAAATTGCCCAACCTTCCTTCCAAGGAGTGGCTGGTGGGTTTGAACCACCAGCCTTCTGGCTAGCAGTCAAATGCCTTAGGCACTAAGCCACCAGAGCTCCTATATATGCATGTGTATATAAAATATATAAAAAATAAATAAAATATATTTTATACACATACACATATACAAATGCTTTTCATTTCTTTTTAAAATATCTAATTTTATTTATTTTGTTGTTGTTATTGAGAATATACATAGCAAAACATACACCAATCCAACAGTTTCTACGTGTACCATTTAGTGACAATGATTATGTTCTTTAAGTTGTGTAACCTTTTTTACCTTCCTTTTCTGAGCTATTCTGGCTCTTTTTTTTTTTTTTTTTTTTAAGAGCTTGTTTTACATTCAATGTTACATGTACATTTAGTTTCACTCCCCCTTTACCATGCCCAACCCTAACCCAGTCTCCTCTTCTCTCTGCCCAGTAACCTCCCCCTGTGCCCCCTCACATTTATGCAATCCTGATTGTCCTGCATTTCCTCAATTTGAATGTTGGTCTTCCGGTGCCCCTTGGTCTACTGCTCTAAGGGATGTATTACCATGGAGTATGTGGGTGCATCATCCTGGGTTGAGTGGTCTGCATGTACACCTTGTTAATTATTGAGCTGAGAGCCAGCCCCTGGGAGTGAGGATACAAATGCTTTTTGTCATCCTCAATTTTTAAGAGCATAATGAGGTCTGATTACAAAAAGTTTGAGAAACATCACCATATGGCTTCAATGAATTTATACTGAAGAGAACACATGGACTACTTTCATCAGGAAAATACTTTGAAATAATTATCAATACTAACTATGTGTTCCATCCCATCTTTTGCCCTCTTACCTTTGTGTTTTAGTTGGGCTGAGAGATATTAGAACTATCTTTAAAAACTGCATGCTAGGCACTTAGACCCCCTTTACACCAGGAAGTAAACTTACCCCCATGGCTCAACTCTCAGCCAAATGACAAGACAGCCTCTGAGATGAACAATACCAGGAAGGTATGCACTCATTAGATCAACCAACCATAGGTGATCAAAAGGGCAGCATTTCCTTAGGGATAAAGCTCAGAAAACAGGAAGAAATAGGAAGAAGGATGAAGGGAAATGGTCAACAGAGGGAAGAGGTGGGCAAAGTGCTATGGAGACTGCAATGAATGTCACAATACAAAATGTGTATGAAGTGTTGAATGGAAAATCAATTTACTTCACCCAAATCACAATAAAAAATAAAACTGCATGCTATGTACAGCACTGCCCAGCAGTTTTAGGTAACTCTAAATCTGCCACGACCATAAACAGCTGTCCTAATTCTTAGCATCACATAATCAAAATGAACCAAAACTATAGAGAATCACTGATATTTTCCTATGATAATGTCATATACAGATGGCCATTTTCTCTTTAAAAACATTCCTTTGCATTTTTAAGTCAGATGTTGCATGAGGGCGCATTACACTGTGAGGTCAGATCTTGGCCGAAAGTAGAGAACATCAGAAAGATGTTTACGTTTCCATTGTGTGGATCATGACAAATTACAGATAACACTGAGAAGAACAGGAATGGCAGAACATTTAATTATGCTCATGAGGAGTCTGTACCTAGACCAAGAGGCTGTCATTTGCAAAGAACAAGAGGATACTGCATGGTTTAAAATCAGGAAATGGTGTGCATCAGGGTTGTATCCTTTCACCACACTTACTCAATCTGTATGCCAAACTAGTGATTCGAGAAGACTGGACTACATGAAGAAAGGGGCATCAGGTGTAGAAGAAGACTAATTAAACAACCTGGGACATGCAAATTAAACAATCTTGCTTGCCAAAAGCTAAAAGGACTTGAAGCACTTACAGATGAACATCAAAGACTATGGCCTTCAGGATAGATTACACCTCAACATAAAGAAGACAAAAATCCTCACAACTGGACCCATAAGCAACATCACAATAAGAGAGAGAAAATACTGATGTTGTCAAAGGATTTCGTTTTAACTAGCTCCACAATCAACAACCATGGGAGCAGCAGTCAAGAAAACAAACGATGTATTGCACTGTGAATCTGCTGCAAAAGACTTCTTAGAATATTTAAGATCAAGGATGTCACTTTGAAAAGTAAGGTGCACCCGACCCATGGTATTTTCAATAGCCTCATATGCATATGAAAGCTGGACAATGAGTAAGAAACACCAAAGAAGAACAAACCAATCTGTCTTGGAAAAGTACAGTCAGAGTGCTCCTTGGAAGCAAGGATGGTGAACTTTCATCTGTTGTACTTCAGTCATGTTGTCAGGAGGGACCGTTCCCTGGAGAAGGACATCATGCTTGGGAAAGTTGAGGGCCAGCATAAAAGAGGAAGACCCTCAAAGAGATGGGCGCACACAGTGGCTGCAACAATGGACTCAATCAAAGCAACAGCTGTGAGGACGGCGCAGGACTGAACAAGGGTTTCCTTCTGTTGCACAGACTTGCTAGGACTCAGGACCACCCTGACAGCACGTAACAACCTAACCACAGCATTCTGTTCTAGCAGCCTTGTCAGTGACCTACGGTATGTGAACCCGCTGTGCGCCAGCTGGAACAGGGGGAGGACTGGGAGTAGGCATCATTTCATAAGAAGGTCATGGAAGGTCCTTTCAATGAGGTGACATTTTAGCTGAAATTTGTCAGCCTCACAGAAATGTGGCAGAAGTAGTACTCTCCAGGCAGAAGAAATAGGAAGTTTTCAAGAAGCAGGAGTGAATCCATTGTGCTTAATAAACAAAAAAGGAGTGTGTGACCGAACAGTGTGAGTCCAAGAAGTAGCAGGAATGAAGACCTGTACAGGTCTTGCAGAATTTTGGGCAGACTGGATTTTACAACAGGAAGTCACTCAAGTATTTGAAGCTGGGGAGTGATAAGGATATGATTTATATGTTTTTAAAAAATCACTGACAA